TGCTGATGACGTCAGCGACGCGGTTTAATCAGGCGCGCTTTAGTCGAGCGCAGTTTTGTCGTGCCACGCATTTCCTCCCCTGGAGCCCCTGTCTTCCCATTCCCCTCTATAAAATGCCCCCTAAATCTCAGTTAAGCAGATGGGATGCTGGGGGATGCCTCCAACTCTCAAGTGACCCATCTCTGCTTTAAAAAGGAAAGCCCCCAAATCATACTTCTAGATCTCTCTGCACCTCTTCACCTGCCTCACTCCCTATTCAGTTAGGCAGGTGTAGTGGAACAAATGGTGTTTGGCTTCTTCAGGAAAGCAAACTAGTGGGAGAAGAAACTCTCTGTGAAAACTGGAGGTAGGGCCTTCTGCTTCTGGTTCTCAGTGGATTCATAATCTGGAAGCTGGTGACAGTCCCCACGAAGCAGACTTGCTTGGCTTCTCCATCTCTTTCTCCAAGCCTTGGCTGTTTATCAAGCCAACCACAACAAGGATGAGGCATTTATTTGGGCATTCTGTTGTGGTTCTTGAGGATCCACATTCAGAGGCATGAATCCAAGGGGATCCTGAAAGAACCCACTGGAAGCAAAACAACACTGGGATGTTCTGTTGAGGGCCAGGTCTCTCCCCTCCTACGCTGAAACTAAATGGAATGGCTGCAGTGTGGGTAATGGAGCAGCTTCCACTACAGACCAGAGGCTGCTTTACAAGGCCACTACAGGATGGAGCTGGTCCACTCAGCTCTTTGCTCTACGTGTTGAGTTTCCTTACTGCTCTTTCAATGGAACATTATGGACTCACAACTGCATAATGCGAGCAAAGCAATACAAACACATACAAAATGTTTGCTGGAGCTTTGGACAAGATGGCTGCCTCTCTGTTAACCCACTGGGTCGTGAGGCTTAGGTGCTTTCACATCTCCTAAATCTTTGCAAAGACATCTCTTTGGCTGAGCTTTCGGGAAGCATCTGCCAATCAGAAGAGGCCGCAGTTGTCTGGTAAAGTCAAGCTCATATCATCTCCGTATTCTCTGATTACAGATACACAGCATCATAGCAATAGCACTTAGACTTATATACTGCTTCAGAGTGCTTTACAGCCCTCTCTAAGCGGTTTACAGAGTCAGCCTATTGCCCCCAACAATCTGGGCCCTCATTCTACCAATCTCAGAAGGATGAAAGGCTGAGTCAACCTTGAACCTGGAGAGATTCCATCTGCCAAATTGCAGTCAGCCGGCAATCAGCAGAAGTAGCCTGTAGTACTGCACCCTAACCACTGTGCCACTTTGGGGCTAATTAATGCTTTAATTAGCTTTGATGTAATCTGAAAACCAGAAAACCGTATAAAATGGAGCAAGTGGGAGCAAACCTTCCATCAAAAGGGGTGCAGATTTCTACTCTGCATCTGAAGTCCTGCTTCAGAAGATTAGGAACCCAACTAGGCCCTCTACTTGTAGTTTCTGGTGTGTGTGTGTGTGTTTGTGTGTTGGGGTGGATCCATCCAGTGAGGTCCTTACACGTTTGCCCTGGGGGAAGTGACCTTGAGCTGTGGTCTCTTTCAGATGACAAATGCCATTATGTTTTTTACCTTTTCTAAAGCGTCTCTAAAATGCATCTTCTCTCTCTCTCTCTCTCTTGTGCACTTTTAAAAAGTCAGCTAACAGAGGTTTGTTCACACACCGTTCGAAGCCTGTGACGTCTAGCTTCATGGCTTCGTCTGACCTCATCATGTTCCCTTAAATTAGGAGTCTCCAAATTGGGCAGCTTTAAGACTTGATGGTGTCAACTCCCAGAATTCCTCAGCTAGCCATGCTGGCAGGGCAATTCTGGAAGATAAAGTCCACAAGTCTTAAAAGTTGCCACGTTTGGTGACCCCTGTTCTAAATCAACAGTTTCCATCACCGAATGTGAGACTATTGTGGGCTAATCGGCCCAAGCAACAAAGTTCACACGTTTTTGGGTGGGGCGGGGAGACCCAACCTCTTCTCATCCTGACCGAGATGTGTCTTAACAAGCCTCTGGATGTGCTTCTTCACATAGCCAGTTTTGTCCTCTGGTTAAGGTCTGTGTGAGCCTCTTTCCGTTTATGTGTCTTGAGTCACCGCTGCAAAAAGTCGTATTGTTTTGATAAAGCAAATGTTAGGTTGTGTACAAATCTTGTTTCTTTCTTCTTTTTTTCCTCTCAGAGAGCCTAAAAATTGGGTGTTTCCCTCCCCCCCAAAAAACCAGACTGTGTCGCTTTAACCCTCTGTGTGCCGTGGCCGGTGCTAAGGCGTGCTACGGAGCCTATGTTTGCCGGATGCGCATCTGTGCTCTTTTTTTTGCAAGGATCGCTTCTCGTTGTCTCTTGTGCCTTAGGGNAATGACTTTAGGATAGACATCCGGTCCTGTGAGGCAGGCAATGGGAACTCACTTTTGAAATCTTGCCAAGAATACCGCAGGGACTTGCTGGATCTGGAGGCATACTGTACATTTAAAAAAAAAAAAAGCTGGATCTTAAGGCATACATTAAAAAAAAAACATTTCACACACAAATAGGCAAATGCTTTGTTTTTATTCTAATCAACCTAGAAAAGAAAAATTAATGTTAAAGCTCTTTTTATGCCTATTATCTAACCCTAACTTTTTTCATTTGTTTTCTTTGTCCGTGTGTTGCCTTTGTTGTTGTTGTTGTTGTGTGTGTGTGTGTTTTGGTATATGTCTATCCTTCCATCTAATCAACATGGTACTTGCGTGTGGCTTATGTATTTGTAGTGGTTTGTGCGCAAGGCCTGCAGGCGAAGGATAAAACGGGCTCCAGTGACCCCTATGTAACCGTCCAGGTTGGAAAGACCAAAAAGAGAACAAAAACCATTTATGGAAATTTGAACCCCGTCTGGGAGGAAAACTTCCACTTGTAAGTGAATCCTAAAGCATCTGTCTCTCTAAAGCATTTGGATGGGACTGCTACACTACCTCCTTAACTAACACACAAATTCACACCAGCAGGCTAAGAGCCTGCATTAGTTGGATCTGATATCCTTAGCAGCATCAGGATGCGACTAAAGAGATACAAGATGTTCAGCAATGTTCTACTTTCCATTCCAAACATTGTTCTGATGCAATGGTAGGTTGGAAAGACTTTGAGAGACAGGGAAGAGACGCTGTCAAGGGAATGGTCAGATAAGAGAGAGCATAGCCCACAACTGGATAGTGAGTGGAGGAAGAAGCTAAGAAGACACCCATCCCTAGTTTCTTGGAGTGAAAGAAGACGGGGGGAAGGATTGTTTTTTCAGACTTGTAAGATTCTGTTGAAGGGACGCCATAGCTCAGTGGCTAAGATGCTGAGCTGGTCGATCAGAAAGGTCGGCAATTCAGCAGTTCGAATCCCTAGCACCTCGTAATGGAGTGAGCTCCCATTACTTGCCCCAGCTTCTGCCAACCTAGCAGTTCGAAAGCATGTAAAAATGCAAGTAGAAAAGTAGGGACCACCTTTGGTGGGAAAGTAACAACATTCCCTGCGCCTTTGGTGTTTAGTCATACCGGTCACATGACCACAGCGACATCTTCGGACAGCGCTGGCTCTTCGGCTTTGAAACGCAGATTAGCATTGCCCCCAGGAGTTGGGAACGACTGGCACATATGTGCAAGAGGAACCTTTACCTAGATTCTGTCAATGTAGCTTTACAATAAAATCCATCCCCCACCAGTCAGTCAGAACAGAAGAAGCTTCTTGGATGAGAAGCAAAATGTTTTCAAAGAAAAAAACCCAAGAAAGCCCAGTTGCCTTTTGGGAAAAAGCACCTTTGGGACAACCGTGACCTGAATGATTGAGACTCTCCATAGACATAGTAAACTAGAGTTAGATTATCTGATTACGATTCCTGATTTTCCCCACAAGGTGGATTCCCGAGAATTGCTTAGCTCTGACTTCTACACTTCCAAGCTAAATCTTTTACTTGATCCCCATGGACCATATTCTTGCAGCTAGAGGATAAATTTCAATGCCAAAATCTTTCTTGTCCCCTTCCTAACCACGAAACATGCCCCATGATTTTGAGGCAGGAAACAGAAATTACAAGCTAATTGCTATTACAGCCTTCATTCTTCCACACCTCAGATATATTTATTGTAGCCTTCAGGCACCAAATATTCAGAATCCAGATTATTTTAGAAGTAGGGTCAGGACTTTTTTGGCTCCCAGAAATTAAAAAAGCTGCTTTTCCAAAAATGTGGGATTGCAGCCTTATTTCTGGAATTGAACCACGTTTAGTTAGCAATAACAGCTGTTGGAAAGAGTCATTCCTGTGTATCAAGACATTATGGATAGTTTAGGTATTGCTTTATATATCTCTGGCAGAGAAACATTCCCGAATTTTCTGAAGGGAGAAGATTGAAAGAAGATTTCCCTTCTACTCCCAGAATTTGAGCTTTTATTTTTTCCCCCCTCTTCCCAGTTACTTTAATGAAGGCTTGTGTAAGGCTCACTGCCCACAGAGTACAGGAATAATTGATAATTGTAGTAGTACCCTTTTCATCTCTGCTGGTGGATCTCCAGAGTATCGTCTCAGAGTATCCCCTCAGTTACTCCGTTTTCCCCAAAATTAAAGATTAATTAAAAATTCTACTTACAGTTAGAAATTAATAATTTGCCTGGATAATTAATGAATAATGTAAGTTCATAATGTACATAATTCCATAATGTAAGTGGATTTTTAATTAAAGGAAACACTGATTAAAATACTAAAATATGCAGAGTTAGAAATGAAAATAAATGGAGGGCGGGAGGGTGGCAGGGATATAATTAATGTTGAGGATAGAGAGATCTTGCAAGGAAATGTGCAATGGGCTTAGTAATTACAAGGTCTCCTGTAGGTTTTAGGAGTCACTGAATCACTTGCCCTTCCCTCAGTAGCTATGTCTGCTCTCATAATGACAGCTTTTATTTATTACTTCACCTCTTTTCCCAACTTCCTCCACGATCAGTGAGTGTCATAACTCCTCCGATCGAATTAAGGTTCGGGTATGGGACGAAGACGATGACATCAAGTCTAGGGTAAAACAGCGCTTCAAGAGGGAATCTGATGACTTCCTGGGTCAGACGATCATTGAAGTACGGACACTGAGTGGAGAAATGGATGTCTGGTACAATCTGGGTAAGCAGTCATCCAGCCTCAAGAGGGACACGTATTTATGGGCAGCTTTCCATCTCAATGAGTCATAAGCATCCGTAAGTCCTAAGAAAGCAGGCCATTTCTTCAGAAAAGAGACCTGGATGTATTCATTGTCTCTATACTAGCAATATGTTCAGTCTGACATACAAAATCTAGATCTGGTAGTTGGCCATTGACTTCCCAGATAAAAAGCTCAAGGAGTCCAGTCTTGCAGTTTAAACAGCCCCCCCCCCACACACACACATACACATACACTTATCAGCTCTAGCAGATCAATAAGAAAATTCACAATTTATTCTGAGTCTGAAGAATGTTGGAGTGAATCATTTGCTTTGACAAAGATGGAAGTAAAGTAAGTCTGGATAAATGCTTGAAACAGTTTGACTGCTCTTAAAATCTACAAGGGAAGGGGGGGCGACTATTGCTGTTATTTCTTTTATAGGCCTTTTAGAGGCATCAGGCTGTGTTGTCTTGACTAGCTGGTTTCTCATTATACTGTTTATATTCTTGCTTATTCTGGGATATTCATATAGACTTCAACAAACACCCCCTTTCCCTCATCAATCTTATAAATAACTGTAACACCAATCCTTTCTCCTCATCCCTAATTTGTTTCAGATAAGAGAACAGATAAGTCAGCTGTATCCGGAGCTATCCGATTGCACATTAGTGTGGAGATCAAAGGAGAGGAGAAAGTGGCACCTTACCATGTGCAATACACCTGTCTTCATGAAGTGAGTGAAAAGGCACATAGTAATTCAGAGGTTGCTTTTTGTGGTATGGTGCACAGATTCCAGCCCTATATGCAAATACACTGGGAAGTGCAGGGAGCCATCTCATCCTGTTATAGAACTGGGCCAAAGTGTAATGGTTTGTTCCCAGAGTGATAGTTCATGAGACCATAATATAAGAGTCAACTGGGCTGAAATGGGCAGCTATAGAAATTGAATAACAACAGCAATAGCATTTAGACTTATATACTGCTTCACAGTGCTCTACAGCCCCCTCTAAGCGGTTTACACAGTCAGCCTATTGCCCCCAACAATTTGGGTCTTCATTTTACCCACCTCGGAAGGATGGAAGGCTGAGTCAACCTTGAACCTGGTGAGATTTGAAGTGCCACAGACTCTCCACAGACAGTCAAGTGACCTACCTTCTCAGAGGATCACAGGAAAGCTGTTAGGAAAGGATCTTGGAGGTCCTAATCCAGCAGTCCCCAACCTTTCCAGCTTCATGGCCTAACATGAGGGGGGGTGTATGAGGAGTAGGTGGGCGTGTGTGAATGCACCAGTTCCCTTTGTGAGAGCGTTTACCACTCACACAAGTGGGAGTGGCCACTGCTCACATAAGTGGAGCCAGGTTCAGAATGGGACACAGCCCAGTAGTGGGCCAGACATTGGAGACCCTTGTTCTAGTCCAACCTCCTGGTCAAGCATGAGACCATATACTATTCTAGACCAATGGCTATCAATCTTTTCTTAAAAGCTTCCAATGATGGAGCACCAATAACTTCTAAAGGCAAGCCGTTCCACTTGAAGTAGTTGCCAAAGAGCCTGAGAAGTGTATGCTAACAACAACAACACTATCTCATTCCATAAAACATGATTTCTGTTCCTAAGGAAAGTAAGCGTACTTATGGATATGATGCCTATCTAGGCGCAATGGTTTTGCTGAGTTTTTCTCAAGATAATATCAACGTTAGTTAAAGTTAATACTTTAATTCCCACAATGTATGAATGACTGGAAAAAACTGATGGAATTAGCAAAGATGGCTAAATGACTGCGTTAATCAAATAAAAGAATACAGCTAACTTTGTTTCTACTTGGAAACCACTTCTGGACTTTATGCTTGAGGTGAAAAAAAAAGGAACTTTGACTTTGGGTGGATTTTGCTGGTTAGATAGGTTAGTTGTTATAGAAGTGGCTACTATGTATTACAGTATTACACAAAAGTAAAAAATATGCTCATATATTATTAACATTCTACTGTGCTAAAAAGAGTTGGAGGTCAATGCTATTCTTTCTTTCCCCCCTTTTATCCTACACATTTCCTCTTCCCTTTTTCCTTCCCTACTTTACCTTTATTTTCATTCTTCTTTGTATTTAATATTTTGATAAATTAATTTAAAAAATTGAACAACAACAAAAAATAATAGCAACAGTCTGTTGACCTCAATACAAACCAGAGGTGGGTTGCTCGCGTTTCGGCCTGGATCGGGCAAACTGGTAGTGGCGGCAGTGGGAAGCTCCCCACCCACCCAGTAACTTCTGTGCATGCACAGAAGCATCGTGCGCCCGCAAGAGCGAACTGGTAGTAAAAAAATGGAAACCCACCACTGATGCAAACCCTTTCTCGACCTNAGTAACCAATGCCAAATCCGGCGAAACAACTGGCCGCTGTGATACAATTGTGTAATAATAATAATAATAATAATATAATGTGGCAGTGCCTGGAGACAGCAGAATAGAAGAGAAAGAACAGGAGAAGATAACAAAATACAAAGACCTACAAATAGAAATAGAATGACTATGGCAAAGGGTAGTACCAAAGTAATAGGCACCTTGGATGCAGTCCCAAAACAACTGGAGCATCATTTGAGCACCATAGGCATTGACATATTTGCCATCAGTCAATTGCAGATACAATTACATTTAAGCCTCATCATTTTTTATAAATAGAATGACACATAAAATAAATCCAGGTGCAATTGTTCCACTCACCCACAAGTTATTTTAAACTGTGCCAGAAAGCCTTGCCGTTGAATCAAGATTATTTTTCTCTACTGCTGTACTGATTCTCCACTGTATGCTTATGCATCAAATCAAACATTGCATAAAATGACTTATCATGCAGCTATTGTAAAGATAGTCCTCACTTAACAACTGGTTGCTTTACGATCATTCAACATTGTACTTCTATAACTGTCTAGTTTGGCACAGCAACCAAACAAAACAGGTACAGACTTCAATGGATAGTTGTACCTGCAGAAAAAACAATTGCAACCATCCTGCCTTCCATTGAGGATTTGCGTATTGCATGGGTCAGAAAGGAGGCTGAGAAAATATCTACAGACCCCTCACATCCTGAACATAAACTGTTTCAACTCCTCCCCTCTGGACACCATTACAAGGCATTGCATGGCAAAACAACTAAACACAAAGGTAGTTTTCTCCTTTGTGCCATAACTCTGCTGAACACCTACTGTATTTCTGGGACTATAAGATGCACCGGAGTATAAGATTTTGAAGAGGAAAGCAAGAAAAAAAAATAGATGTTGCCCTTCCTGACCTCCAGGAGCACTCTGCAGGCCTCACAAACCCTTTGCACACCCCATTTTTGCAAAAAATAAAAATAAAAAATAAATAGGGCCTGGTTTTGGCAAAAACGGGATTCGCAGGATAGGGTTTGGGGAGGCCAAAAATGGTGGTATTCAGTGTATTAGACGCATCAACATTTCCACCCTCTTTTAGGGGAGGGAAAGTGCATCTTATACTCCGAAAAGTATGGTCATTCCCATAGCACTGTCTTATATCTAAGGATATTTGCCCGTGTAATAGGGCTGTATTGCTATTATCCATCTCATCTTCCCTACTACTTTCTTCAATTAGTATCTTCTGATTATATTACTTTGTTGTTTGTATGTACACTGAGAGCTTATGCTCCAGAGACAAATTCCTTTTGTGTCTAATCACACTTGGCCAATAAAGAATATTCCATTCCATTTCATTCTGTTCATTGTAACCAACTCCCCAAAATTTACTTATGTCTGATCCTTAAAGTTACAAGTGCCATACCACACCCATAGTTATGTGATTGCATTTTGGGTGCTTCACAACCAGTTTGCACTTACGACCGGTTGCAGCATTCAACACTCGCATGAACGTGATTTGCAGTGTTTCTGCCACTTTCTGATTTTTTAAAAAAAATCTCCATTTGAGAGAATGAATTCATGTGATAACCACATAATTCATGTAATGACTGCAGCGGCTCATGTTACAATTTTTGTAAAAATTGGTCATAAAATCACATTAGATCACATGATGATCCATTTAATGACCACAAAGACTTTTCAAAATTCTTTCGTGGTGGTTAAGTGAGGACTACCCGAATTCTTTCATTTAAGTTTTCCCTCCCCCAATAGCTTATCAAGGTGCATTATTGAATAATAAGAAAACAAATCTGTAGTAGAGAAACATACCTAAAAATAACATTTATGCAGTAAAATCCACCGTTCCATCAAAATTGCTTTCCCTACAACATTTTATCAAATAACAAGAGTAACATAGATGGAGTGAAAGTCCCACCAATGACCAGACAAAGCTAAAGATATAACAAACCATTATTCAAATCAAAACTAAAATCAAATTGTAGCTAAGGAGCATTATAAATCAAACAAAGGAAGCACATTTTCATACATTTAACATAGAACAGCTTGTAGAATATATGCATGATGGTAAATTGATGTAACTCTAGGGAGAAGCTTTTGCTATAAAACCTCCTACCACTCGATCTGCCCTTGTTATTTCATCAACACAGAGAACATATATTATTTGTTTTCACAGTTTATATTCTGCCTTTTTGCTTGTCAGGCAATCAAGGCCACTGAGAACTTAAAACCCACATAAACATGAAATGCACTTTCAGTTCATCCCTTATGGGACTTCAGATGGTGGAGTTATATAAACCAAGGGCTAAATAGTTAACAATGCCTATTCACTTCTATGCAATTGTAACTTCAGGAGGGCCACTGGATTTATTTTTTCCTAGATCATGGGTTACCACACTTCCCTCCGCTATCATCGTGCTGTCAAATGTACTCCTGTGTTGTTGGAGTTTCTTTTCTCCCATAGAAGTGAATCGACCTGACATAAGGTCAAGAATAAGATAATAAGTTCCAGCCCTGAGAAAATCAAACCTAAAAGACACAACAGAGGCAATGGCTAAATTGAGGAGGAAGATTTGAATAAAGGAAAATATAGGTTGTTTCCGTAGATGTGCCATTCTTAGTCATAGAAAGAATGATGACCCTCACTGTCAAAGACCTTGGAGTACTCATATCTAATGATCTAAGTCAGTGGTCTCCAACCTTGGCAACTTTAAGACCTGTGGACTTCAACTCCCAGAGTTCCCCAGAGTTCCAGCTTTGCTGGCTGAGGAACTCTGGGAGTTGAAGTCCACAGGTCTTAAAGTTGCCAAGGTTGGAGACCACTGATCTAAGTGACAGAGCCCACTATAACAATATTGCCAAAAAGGCATTAAGAGTTGTTAACCTAATCTTGCGTAGTTTCTTCTCTGGTAATATTGTACTGCTAACCAGAGCATACAAAATATTTGCTAGACCAATTCTCGAATACAGCTCATCTGTCTAGAACCCGCACTGCATGTCGGATATTAATACAATCGAGCAAACCCAGAGATAATTCACAAGAAGAGTCCTCCACTCCTCTGCTCACAACACGATACCTTATGCCACCAGGCTTGAAATTTTGGGCTTAGACAACTTAGAACTACGCCGCCTTTGGTCTGACCTAAGAGTAGTACGTAAAATTATCTGCTACAATGTCCTACCTGTCAATGACTACTTCAGCTCCAACCACAACAATACACAAGCACATAATAGATACAAACTTAAGGTAAACCGCTCCAAACTCGATTGCAGAAAATATGACTTCTGCAACAGAGTGGTCAATGCCTGGAATGCACTACCTGACTCAGTGGTTTCTTCCCCAAACCCCCATAATTTTAATCTTAGACTGTCTACTGTGGACCTCACCCCATTCCTAAGAGGTCTGTAAGGGGCGTGCATAAGCGCACCAGTGTGCCTACCATCCCTGTCCTAATGTTCTGTTTTATTTGTATCCATTTCATGTGTTCAAAATCATGTTTGTACTTTATATATGTTATTTAATACGCTTGATGAAATAAATAAATTAAATAAACAAAAATAAAATATCACAGAAGTTACACTGAAGAATTGGGTAAAAAAAAAGAGAGAGAGGAGGTGCCTGACATTCCACCGACAACGATCCCTGATACACAAACTGACAGCAATCTACATGTACAACACAATCCTAACATATACTTTTTCTCCACTTGAGTCTTAATGGCGGGCATGGGTCTGGTTTCTTAATATCACTGAGCCATGTTAAAAAGAACAGCAAATGTGATTGTAGCCCGGGAGCCAGGAGGGAGTTTGTTTGACATCAGCCTGCCAATTTGGCAAACGTTCCATACCGTGCATGGCTGCGCATGCCCAGTGTTATTAAGAAATACAGCATCAGCTGGGACTAGGCCTCGGAAAGCCAGAGATGGAAGGGCAGGGAGATGCAGTTAAAAGGATGGGAGTTAGCCTGTGTGATTGGATTGGGGGAAGACTGGGGTGCCCTGAGGGGTGGTTATTTTCTAAAGGACTGTTTTGCTCTTTGCATGCAATGTCGCACCAATGCTAAGTCCCTTGTCTCCTCTGCTTTGCTCAAGAATCTTTGGGAACTGTGGTAGTAATGATGGCAGAAGCATCTTAATCAAGAAATCTTGCTTGATACACCCCAATAGGTTGAATCAATCCTAGTCAGGTATAGGAAGTTGGGACCACCAGAGCGGGTGGTCTTCCACAGGGTTCCACCTATCAGCAAAGAAGAAAATTTGGGTCTACGGGTTGCCCATCCCTGGATTAGAGAATCAAATCTGGTTTTCCTTTTTTCTCTCTCTCTGCAAAAAACCAGAACAAAGTTCTGGCACTTACAACAACAGCATCCTTAAGGTCAGATAGTCAAGTGGGATCGTTCCCCGATAAAAGAGAGCCAAATGCATAGGTTTTGCCAAGTTCACTGGTCCAATTTCTTGGATCAAGGCATAAGCAGCTAAACCAGGATTCCATAAAGAGAGAACTGGAATTGCCAGTGGATTGCCATTTACTCCAAAATGTGGACGTCTTACTCTTTGTCTGTAAGTCTGCAACAAAACTGTAATTGTGCCTCAAATCTGGCGTGCTACTCACAAAAAGAAGATGGTAAGGGTAAACTGGAGGAAAGTGGGTGGTGGTGGTAGGATTCTTCCAACTAATGTCCAAAAGAAGATAGGCCAAATAAGATCATTTGTAGGTGTCTTTTAGCTTTGCATCACTTAACCAATTCCCTGCCCTAAAGTTCAAGAATGATTTCTTAATCTTTGATTATATTAACAAGCCTGAACCAAGTTCAAGACCAACGGTGGGGCATGGTGGGAGGGGGTTCAAGGTCTCACTATTTTAACTTCATTGACCTGCTTTGGGGGCTCTCTCATTTTGCAGAAAGAACGGTTTGTCAAACTGCTGGACCAGCTACACAATTCCCTGAGGATCGATCTCTCAATGTATCGGGTAAGGAGGGGCATTTGCTTAGAACGGAGAAATGGGCCAGTAGTGAGATTCAATTTTTTTTACTTCTAGTTCTGTAGGTGTGGCTTCATGGGTGTGGCATGGTTTGGTGGGTGTGGCTTGGTGGGTGTGGCAGGGGAAGGTTACTGCAAAATCCCCATTCTGATCAGCTGGAACTTGGGAGGCAGTGAATAGATGGGGGCGGGGCCAGCCAGAGGTGGTATTTACTGGTTCTCCAAACTACTCAAAATTTCTGCTACCGGCTGTCCAGAACTGGTCAGAACCTGCTGGATACCACCTCTGAAACAGGCAGATTCTTTGAGGTAATCAAAGGCCGGTTTCTTGAATTTTCATTTGTTGTTGTATGAAAAGAAGCAAGTTTTTACTCCTCTTTTGTTTATGTAGGTAACAAGAAGCACACTATCTAAACATTAAACTTGCTCCCAGTTTTCTGGTTCATTCATTCGTTCATTTAGTCATTCATTCAACATGTATATATGGTTACCTATCTCCAAAGGCACTCTGGGTGATGTAGAAAGATAAATCAAAACCAAACTCACAATTTCAGTAAAGAAAAATCTAGTTGAAGTGCCCCACTCAAATCTCAATAACAATCTAAAAAGCAGGCCTACATACACCTCAGAACTCTGCTATTCTGTATTCTGCTAACTTCCTGGCCTCAGTGCCTGGGGGAATCACCAGGTCTTCGTGGCCTTCCAGAAGTCAAAGCTGTCCATATCTGAGAGGGGAAGTTGTTCCTCAAAATAGGATCTATGATAGAGGAGGCACACTTCCTAGAACCGTGATGGCAAACCTATG